TATATATTAAACTGGGTCATGGATAAAAAATTCATAACCCATTACTGTGTCGAGTTTTGATCGTCCGAATTAAACATGTTTTACAAAGTTAGTTTGGGTTCGCAAATTTCCTTACACCCCAAAAAACGTTTGGATATTTTGGTTGCATGTTTTAGTTAACATGTTTTTGTTACTTTCTCTCCTAGTAAGTAGACACATGTATTTACTTAACACGTTATTTAATATGTCATTGAATATCATTTATTTGTTATTATTGTAATTAATTAAGTCCTCACAATCTATTAATAGTTCTTTTAATTTTTATGATTACTTTTTTTATTCAAATATTTTTCCTCTTTTTGAATCCAAATAATTTTTCGCAGAGCAGAATTTTTTAAATAATTATTTATTTTTTAATTTATAAAATCTTCAATAAATTTAAATTAAATTAAATTAATGATTAATATTTGTAAAAAATAATTATATAAATTATAATTTTTGACTAAATAAACATTTTGAATAATTTATAAAGAATATAAAATTAATATTATACCAATCCTATAATTTCAAGAAAAATAAAAATGTTACTAAAATAATAATACATTAATGGTATTAATAAAATAAAAATCTATCCGTATATTAACTATAAGTTTAAAAAAAATAAAAACAAATTACTAAAATGAAAATATTTTAATAATCAAAAATAGTAAAAAAATAATATTAGAAAATAAATATAATAAAAAAATTCTAAAAATATTAAAGTATATACACCCATACATGTACAAGTACCAAGTCTAGATATTAATATATTTATTCTGTGTTGTTTAATTAAAATACAAAAATTAAAATAATTTTATTAAATTTTAATTTGACTAATATATTAAAAATAAAAAATATTTATTTAAAAAATAGTTAGTTGTGAAATTTTTTTTAAATTTTTGTACATATTCAAAAAAAGAAAAATAACATTTGAATAAATAAAAAGAAAGATAAAAGTTAAAATTTTAAATATGTTTTTAATTACTAAAAGGAAATTGCTGTATTGTGACACATATCCTATAGTGACATAATAAGTGTTACTAAAAACTACTTTTACCTACACAATAAATATAATATATATTAGTATATTGTTAAAAAATGTGGGTATAAGTTATAGTGACACATAAAATATGTTGTTAAATCTCATTCAAAATCAACACTAAAATTGTGTGTAGCTATATGCCAAATAGATATATACCTACATATATTATACTTATAGTGACATTTTTTGCATGTCACTATATGTAACATTTATTATAGTATAATCCCTCAAATTTAAAATTGGTCGTTTTATGTCGCTGTAATTTTTAAAAATCTTATTTTAATTCTTATACGGTTATACTCAAATTTTGTTAAATATTATTCTATTTATTAGTATTCTTATTAACGAAAACACCACATAAAACCTAATTGATGTTATATAACTATTTCAACTTGTCACTTTTATATATATATGTTAATGTTACCTTAAGAGACTAAAACAAAATTTTTATAAATTACAGGACTAAAAAAATAATTTTAAATTTAAAGGATAAAAAAGAATTTATCTTAAATTTGAAGATCTAAAATATATTTAAGCAAAAATTAAAAGAATGATAAATAGATTGCAAGGTACCTTCCCTCGGGTTGTGACTCGGAACTCTCATCCGACTTTCAGAATATGAAAAGATTATTAATAAGTCTTTGGACAAGTACAATATTAAATAATGTATTAATTAAATCCACATGTTTATATGCCATTAAATAATAATATAGAGTACCAAAACATGTTTTCAATAACATGAACCGAAGTAATAGAAGAAGAAAAAAAAGGTATATTATGAAATCATCATTGAAGTCCTTTCGTGTTAACAAAAATATATACTTACCGCAAATAAATGCAACGCATGAGGGCGGGTGACTTGTGAATTGTCTTCAAGCATGAGTTCCAGCACAGAATCTAACACATCATTATTGCATGCCATGGATTCATTTTTTGATGCCCTTAAACGCAATCTTTCTTCTACGAGTCCATCAAAAAATGAAATTAACTTTTCAAAATAACCATTCATTCTTCTCCGCGCACCTTGTGGATCAAGAAGGCGAAGAATTGGGAAAAAGTCCACAACATTAGGCCTTCCAGATTCTTCCATGATACCCCAAATGATGCCCTTGAACTCATGAGACTTATCAGAAGAGTAGTGAGCCAAATCCATTGAGAACAAAGTGTTTGATATGGAATTAAGAAGGGTTACTAAGACAACCTCACCAATATCCAAAGCTTCACATTTCTTGCTTCTTTCCTTGATATAATCTAACAATTCTTGCACCTTCCTTTGACGAAGAGCTCGTGTAGAATCAAGCTTTTGGGAAGAGAAAACTTCTGTTGCACAAATTCTTCTGAGGGTCCTCCACTGAGCCAAAGGTGGCAACCATGAAACTGAAAGTATGTGGTGGTCAAGTGCTCGACTAGCATCTGTTAAGGTTCGGCTAGAGAAGATGTGATCATTTTTATGTAATACTTCTTTGGCAAGTTGTGGAGAGGAAATAACTATGGTGGTGATGCTACCAAGCTTAAGAGTGATAATAGGACCATGAATTTGAGAAAGCTTGGCAAGTGCTTGGTGAGGTTGATTTCCAAGCTCCAAGCTGTTTCCTATGATTGGAAAAGGGCGAGGCCCTGGTGGGTATTTGGAGGATTTTAGTGTTTTGAAGATGGAGACTAGGACATGAATGCTTGCCAGCCCAAAAAAGATCAAGAGAGATGTAAGGTATTCCATGATTATGTTTGTTTTCCTTCCCTGGCTAGTTTGTTTTTGTATGTGGAAAGATTACACTGTTTTATGCCAGAGGTGAAAAAAACGTGTCCTGCTAGTAGATCTTGAAAAAATTGAATGAAAGTTGACGTGTTTATTTCGTGCAAAGAATCTTGCATCAAAATGATAACCACAAAGTCTTGTTTTTGGCCCATTTTTTAGTGTAAGACAATTAATAATAGTTTACTTTGGCAAATAGAGGTTCTTAGAAACCAAAGCTAGATTATTAAATGTGTTAGAAACAATTAACAAAGTGGATAAATGATCCGCTGAAAAAAGAAGATAAAAAAAAATAAATTTTGTGTTAATATAGGGTCGTCTTAACCGATAATAAAAAATTAAAATAAATAAATTTGTTAGTGACAACTTAACCAACATAAAAAAAAATTATGTCGACTTATTTAGCGTCAATCAAAAATCAACGAATAATCGATAATATTATGTCAATTTTTATGATTTAAAGTTGGTTTTTGACTACTCTAAATCATAGCATTATTGTAGTGACCTGTTAGATTATTCAATAAGAAAATAAGTATTAGAGAGATCTTTATCATAAGTTTTCTACTTCATTAAGCATATTACAACAATAATGACATTTAATTAAATTTCTAGAAAGTGGGTAGGAAAGTTCATAATTAAATATCAAAGGCTCCATATTAAAACTATCAGTAATACTAATAGATAGTACTAGAATGACTTCAGGTTAGTAATATTGTTACCATATAATATTACATGCTACAAGTGTGGTTACCCAAGGATTATTAATTTAAAATATTTTATATGATAATGTATATAATAAAAAAATTATTAAATTTGTTTTAAAGTGTATTTTATTTATATTTTAAAATTGTTGTTATGTTTATTTTATAATAATAGGAAAAAAAGTTGATTGTTTAGTATTTTATATCAAAAGTTGTTAGCTTAATTAGTTTTATACTTAATTATGTTTTTTTAACTAAGGATACAAGTTTGATCCTAACTTTGGTGTAAAGTCACGATAGGAGATATCTCTTTATTCTTATAGGAGATGACTTGATGAATAAGAATTATACATCCTTATCGAAACAAAAAAAAAATCTTAATTATCAATTGTATGAATTTCTTTTAAATAAGTTTGGAATTGCACTTGTTGTATGTGTTAGACATAAATTAATTAATCTTTTAATATATTTTTTTACTTGGTGATTCGAAATTGTGTTTTTGTTTTATTCTTGGCTTAAAAATGTTAATAACTTACATATGTTGAAATGTTGATTGAGTTGTTTCATCTTTCTATATTTATGATAGTTAATTATATTAATTAATTAAGCTTCATAAATTTAAGATGCTTAAAATGAAAGAACAAAAAATATAAAATTACATAATTTAACTATCACAATATTATGTAATTAATATCTATTAATCAACTGATAAAATATATTGGTTGAAATATTAGTACACCATGTAAATTTTGAAGAGTAACTTACATATTACTACTTAAAATAATACAATTAAATAACATTAAAGTAAATATAATTTTTGAGCGTAGCACTCCAAACATGATATAGAATCCTTCTTAATTTTATGTTGTTTGATATGTAACATTTTTTTCAGTCATGGGTTAGTCAATAACAAAGTATATCAATATTTTCTGTTTTATCCATTACTTTAATAGGATTTCAAACCTCAACATAGCAATCTCTAAAAAATTGAAAGACATGTGTTGCTAACTGTATATAATAAAAAATCAACAATATATTGGAATTTAACATATATTTTATAAAATTTATAAATCAAATGAAAGGATAATAATGAGTGTAAGGGATCAAAAATTAAACTTTTTTCATAATACATTGATTTCATAAAATATAGAGATAGTTAATGAATCCATGGGTAATATAATAAGTTTTTCAAATAATTTTAATCGTTCACAATTTTTTTTAGTTTTACTTACATAAGCAACAACAATCTCCCAATAAAACGTTATTCCCTTCAAATCATGAATGCATTTTATTATCTTTCAAAATATGATCGTGATTATAACTCGAGTTTTACATTTGCAAAACATAATATGTATTTTCAAATTAAACATAAAATAAATACAAAAAAAAAATCTAGCATGTATTAGAAATGATTTTCAAATGAAACAACAAATAACCACCAAACAAATAATATGTAAAACATATAATGTATCAATGACCTTCCAATATTAACATAAATAAAATGTTTTTCAATGTACATATACAATGAGAAAGATTAAAAACAAACACCAAAATACATTAGAAATGTTTTTCAAATGAAAAATCAAATAAACAACTTGAGAATGAAAAATATATAATGGTGAAAATATGATGATTGAAGGTTGTTTATATATATAGGTTAAAATTATGTGATGAGAATAACTCCATGAGAATAAAATTTGTATAGCCAAGATCTTTGCCAGTTGTTTCTTAGTATTAGTGTTTTAAATGATAGTCATTAAAGATATTTATTAGTAGAGTTTTTTTCCTACATGTATTTATTGGAGAAGTTGTTTACTTTTGGAGAATGGAATGCGTATAATAGGGATGATAACGGGGCGAGTATGAGTTTTTCTATACCCGTCCCCGTCCATGTTTCTGTAACTTATACTCATCCCGTCCTTATACCCGATGAATATATTTGTGTCTTCATCCTCGTACCCGTTCTATACCTGTTCAAGAGTTAATTAAATATTTTTTTTATAAAAAAAATAAGAATTTCAACATAAAATAGTAATTACAAAAATTAATTAAACTTTATTTGACATAAATTAAAAATATAGTAAGAAATTACATAACTTTTAAGTAAATTCTAAAAAAAACAAATTAAATATTTATAATTTTAAAATGAGTACAGGATAGGTATGTATGTGACACCCTCTACCCCAACATAAATACAATAGATA